AACCTATCATAAAGAATGCAGACACAGAGTAGTATTTATAGTAGTATTATTGAATATCAGGAAACAGATACTAGAATATATGAAATCACTATTCATTTAAATTCTTTAATCATAGATTGGGTTGCCTTGTAACGCTTCCTTTCCGCAAAAAGTCCAGAAAAGATGGAATGCAATGAAGATTCCAACTTTTCTGCACAATCACAGAAAGGGGGTTACAATTAGCTTCCGGTAGCTCAGTCGGTGGCATGAAGACATCTACAGGCGTGTAGCTGTGTGTCGACCATGGCATGGCTAGAGGATAGAAGAACAAACAGAACACAAAAATTTAACAGATTTTATTTAACAAAAAAAAGGCATTTTCATTACATTACAATTTTACAAAAATAACAAAATAAGTTTTACATCTTTGGCGCTGCTATAACGCTATCGACTTATCTTTCGCTGGTCCATTTTTACTCGACTGAAGCCAGGATGGCCAGGGGCTTGAAGGGGAGGTCCCAGTTATGAGGGGTGACCTCCATATAGTGGCTTCACAACCAGTTGTAGGCGAAGTTAAAGGCGATGGCGCTGCCAAGGTACATGCATGGGTGAAAATATTGGCCAAGGCTAGGCAAAGTGAAAGGGAAAGAGAAAGGGGGTGGCCCCAATCATTTTTGTCCTATACGGACACACATTCTAGAAATCTAGCACATGGTGCTATATAACCTGGTGCTACTGAGAAGAAATTTCTAGCCGTTGTTTGATCGGCGGCTCAGGTGAAAAGGAAGCGCGAGGAAGATCGCAGATCAGGAACTCCGCATCAAGCGCTCCAAGCGGAAAATTTTCCAAGTAGAAGAGCTAGAGATGGGATTAATGAAATGATAATCGAGAAGTGATTTAATAAATACGATCGGACGGTGAAACCGTTACACTCGCCCCAACTTAACCAAAAAAAAAAAATCGAAGAAGCATTTAAGAATTTTTTTTTTACTAGGAAATTGAAAGTTATCACGGAAGGACAAATGTACAACCATTCGACCAGATAACAAGTAGCAAAAGTAAGGTAGAAACAAATATGTTAGAAGAGAATTGGAAGAAAAAGGGATAGCCTCAAGTCTACCAAACAAGAGGGATGGTTATAGCACCAACTCGCTGAAAAGTACAGTGAAGTTGCACTTAAAAAAAACTATCATCATATGATGAAAAACCCAAAACATAAAACATCGTCATACCTAAGACGAGAAAAATAATAAACCAAAAGCTTCAGAAGTAGTCCAAGGACGAATCACAATGGCATCCAAAATGCACGACTGACTACTAAAAACTTCAAAACTAAGTAAGTACCTAAACCATAAGAGGTACTAAAAAAAATAATAATCTTTCTCAAAACAATTGCCAGATTATCTCGCAATACTCCAAACCCAAAAAGATTATGATCTACAGTGATATTTTAAACCAATATCCAATATAAAAAAAAACTGTGCATTACTATTTTCAAAATATGAAAATCAAAAGAAATTAACAAATTCTATTAAGAATTCCAGTTATATAACAAAACAATTTACAAGTACTAAACCAATGAAAACTTGATCATGAAGGTATTTTAATCAAAAAAAGATGTTAAGTAAGTGCAGATTCCAAAAAAAATTGTCGGGCGCCAGCAGTCTGTAAGACTACAAAATAATTCGAAATGTTTCCAGAGAATTGAAGTGTATAAGAGACATTCATGAAATATTGAAGTAAGATTTTCAAAGTCAAAATATAGCTTAAGTTCAATCAATGAACTAAAATTCAAGAGTAAGTTCAATTAAGATTATCGGGTCATGTGACAACATAAGAACCAGACCAAAAAAAAAATTTGAAGTACAATATAGAAAAGAGCAAAATAAATTTCCAAAAAAAAACTAAGTGCAACACAAGTGCAACTGTAAATCTAATAGTGTTAAAATCATAAAGTGAAAGGAAATATTAAAGCTATATGAGCATGATTTTATAAAGGGTTCTCAAAAAAATTTAAAAGTAAGCAAAATATTAAAAGTTTCATGAGTAATAAATGAGAAACGAAGTGAGCATATGTAAAATGCAGAATAGCGAAACGAAAATCACAAGATATTTTATTAAATCATGATACATGAGAGTAATGCCGCAAGCAAAAATTGTATGCAAAAGACTACGATATATGTAGGTGCAAAATTGGAGTTATAAAAAAAATCTAGTGAACAAGAAATAGAAATAAATATGATAGGTAAGAATTCGAATTTTGATTTAAAGCAAAAATATGAGAGAAAGACAACTTTCTAGGGTCACCATAGGTGCATTCCAAAGCCCTAGACAAGAATGTCTATAGTCTATGGAATATTCTCATGTAGATCACTGATATCATCAGCGCACTTCAAAGTCTACACTGAGAATAACCATAACATTGTAAAATGAAAGTTAAGTTCAAATATGAAATATTACAAGATTAGAAAAACTATAATAATTTACCAGTGTAAAGTATGAAAAAAGGAATTACTATACTGAATCTATAAGAATTGGCGATTACTTCAAGTCAAGACAGAAATTGAAAGAAATAAGAAGCCGGAAAAAAAGATTATGAGAGCAGACTATCAAAACAAATGCAATAATGCAAAAGCAAAATCACCAGATATTTCAAAATCTATAGCGAAACATGAAAGCAATGTCGCAACCAAGCTCAAGACTTAGCAATACGCACAAATGTGCACAAAGGCTGAAAGCATATATGAAAAATCTCAAGAAGGAATTGACAATTACTTCAAATCAAATTGAACTGAGACATAAATAACTATATCAAAAGTGAGTTTTACTTATACGCCAGAGGTTTCAAGAGTTTATCAATACGCACAGATTTGCAACTAGGCGGAAAGCATATATGACAAGTCTCAAGAAGAAAATAAAATGCATATGAAGAAAACACTTTCAATTAAAGAAACTGTGGATAGTACAAGACCCTCAAAGGCATACATCTCAACGAATCTATGTAACTATCCAGACTACAAAATACTGTCAAAGTTCAAAACCACTCAAAAATACGTAAACAAACATCAAAAGTTTGAACCAAAAATCAATGTAAGTCTGTGCTCTCGAAGAAAGTTATAATGAATTCAAAAAGAGGATACTATCAAAAACTTCAAAAGTAATAGACTTCAAAAATAGAAGTAGGTAAGTATGTAAAGGAAATTCAGAAAATATACGCATAAAAACATTATAAAATATTATACACAGTATTTGTCACATGATTTGAATGCAATTTAAATTTTGAGTACACTCAGAAAAATGAAATATTCAAAAGATGAAGTATACACATTAAATTGGAATCAGAAAAATAATGATTACTTGTAAATTTTGTACATGGTGGACTGACGTAATGGTTCAAAAGGTTGAAAGAACAACGATGACTAATGTCCAAAGTAAACATTCAGCTGCCTCTTACAGCAAATAAGTTTATTCATTATCAAAGGAAATTCTTCTCCGTTCGCATCTGTACTAGGAAATAAATATAGGAAAACCTACTCGCTCCAATGTACAGATCGAAAAACTCGCCCCCCTCGATTGAGCGGAAATATTAGTATTGGACTGATTGTAATATTTCAGAAGGTTGAAAGAACAACGATGTTAAATGTCCAAAGTAAACATTCAGCTGCCTCTTACAGCAAATAAGTTTATTCATTATCAAAGGAAATTCTTCTCCGTTCGCATCTGTACTAGGAAATAAACATAGGAAAACCTACTCGCTCCAATGTATAGATCGAAAAACTCGCCCCCTTCGATTGAGCGGAAATATGAGTATTGGACAAATTGTAATATTTCAAAAGGTTGAAGGATCAACGATGTTAAATGTCCAAAGTAAACATTCAGCTGCCTCTTACAGCAAATAAGTTTATTCATTATCAAAGGAAATTCTTCTCCGTTCGCATCTGTACTAGGAAATAAACATAGGAAAACCTACTCGCTCCAATGTACAGATCGAAAAACTCGCCCCCTTCGATTGAGCGGAAATATGAGTATTGGACTGATTGTAATATTTCAAAAGGTTGAAGGATCAACGATGTTAAATGTCCAAAGTAAACATTCAGCTGCCTCTTACAGCAAATAAGTTTAATCATTATCAAAGGAAAATCTTGTCCGTTCGCATCTGTACTAGGAAATAAACATAGGAAAACCTACTCGCTCCAATGTACAGATCGAAAAACTCGCCCCCTTCGATTGAGCGGAAATATGGGTATTGGACTGATTGTAATATTTCAAAAGGTTGAAGGATCAACGATGTTAAATGTCCAAAGTAAACATTCAGCTGCCTCTTACAGCAAATAAGTTTATTCATTATCAAAGGAAATTCTTCTCCGTTCGCATCTGTACTAGGAAATAAATATAGGAAAACCTACTCGCTCCAATGTACAGATCGAAAAACTCGCCCCCTTCGATTGAGCGGAAGTATGAGTATTGGACAAATTGTAATATTTCAAAAGGTTGAAGGATCAACGATGACAAATGTCCAAAGTAAACATTCAACTGCCTTTTACAGTAAATTAGCTTAGCAATTATCAAAGGAAATTCTTATCCGTTCGCATCTGTACTAGGAAATGAATATAGGAAAACCTACTCGCTCCAATGTACAGATCGAAAAACTCGCCCCCTTCGATTGAGCGGAAATATGAGTATTGGACTGATTGTAATATTTCAAAAGGTTGAAGGATCAACGATGTTAAATGTCCAAAGTAAACATTCAGCTGCCTCTTACAGCAAATAAGTTTATTCATTATCAAAGGAAATTCTTCTCCGTTCGCATCTGTACTAGGAAATAAATATAGGAAAACCTACTCGCTCCAATGTACAGATCGAAAAACTCGCCCCCTTCGATTGAGCGGAAATAAGTATTGGACAAATTGTAATATTTCAAAAGGTTGAAGGATCAACGATGACAAATGTCCAAAGTAAACATTCAACTGCCTTTTACAGTAAATTAGCTTAGCAATTATCAAAGGAAATTCTTATCCGTTCGCATCTGTACTAGGAAATGAATATAGGAAAACCTACTCGCTCCAATGTACAGATCGAAAAACTCGCCCCCTTCGATTGAGCGGAAATATGAGTATTGGACTGGTTATATTATTTCAAAAGGTTGAAGGATCAACGATGTTAAACGTCCAAAGTAAACAATCAGCTGCCTCTTACAGCAAATAAGTTTATTCATTATCAAAGGAAATTCTTCTCCGTTCGCATCTGTACTAGGAAATAAATATAGGAAAACCTACTCGCTCCAATGTACAGATCGAAAAACTCGCCCCCTTCGATTGAGCGGAAATATGAGTATTATTACAAATGATAATGATTAAGCAAGAATAATTTATCTGAATTTTAGAATATGAGAGTATATAAAGCATAATAATACACAAAAGCAAAAGTTAATCGCTGTCCGAATCAGAACTCTCACTCATTACATCATTACGCAAAACATCAATACCATTGCCATGATCAACATTCAACGTATTATCAGGTTTCAAGTCTTTAACATGAAAATCTCCCAAGATATTACCATGGAGATCTTTCAATGTGTATACTAACGGAGATTTTACTATATGAATAATACAAGGAAGGAATTTTGGACTTAGTTTGGCACAAAAGTTGTCTGCAGCACTTGATTGAAAGAAATTGCGTTTGAGAACTCTATCACCTTTATTAAATTGCAGATGTCGTCTACGCAGATTATACCTATTTCTATTAAGTTCGTAGGAACGCCGCATTCTGTGCTGGACTTTAAGGTAAAATTCTGGAATTTGCTGAACAAAATTTGGATCTATGACGTTCTGGTCGATATTGACTGGATTATTGGCAACAGGTGCAATCTTTCCATAGAATGACCCATCAACTGGTACATTTCTGTAAAAATTTAGAAAGCTGGGCGAGTATCCTGTGACTTCATGTTTAGCAAGTCTGATTGCTTGAGCTATTTGATGAATAGACTCATCCCAAGTTTTATGAGAGTCTTTGATATAGGACCTAATTGCAGTAACGATGGTTCTGTTAACTCGCTCAGTAGGATTTACCTGAGGGGTGTATCTTGCTGAATACCAGATCTTCTGCACTTTATATGAATCTGCAAGCGCTTTAAATTCTTTAGAAATGAACTGTGGACCATTATCTACAACGATGATTTGAGGAACTCCAAATATAAGGAAAACTTGATTTTCTAAAAATTTTACAATTGAGCTTGAAGTTGCCTTAGGCATTGGATGAACTAGTACAAGTTTAGTGAACCAGTCACAAACTACTAAAAGAAAACGATTTCCTTTTTTAGAACGAGGATATGGTCCTAAAAGATCTGCTGAAATCATTTGAAATGGATACTTGATGTCTCTATATTTGCCCATTAAACCAGCTTGAGGTAAATTACTAGGTTTGCATTGTGAGCAAACTTTGCAAGAGTGTACATAGAACTGAACAGATTGCTTCATTTTAGGCCAATAATAAATAGCTGATATGCGAGATAGTGTTTTAAATACTCCTAAATGACCAGAAGTAGGATCATCATGATACATTTTGAGCAATTTAGATCTATTTGGAGCTGGAACAACGATTTTCCAGTCAGTATAAGTTTCTGCAAGTGGATTATCAGAAAGAATATGTTTGTATAGAATATTATTTTCTACTTTAAAAGATGGATACAATTCAGGGTTGTTTTCAACCTTACGTATCATTTTACGATACCACTTGTCAGGAGATAATTCCGCAAGATCTAAAACTGACACATTAACCTCATTTTCATGCAAACGCGAAAGAGCATCTGCTACAGGTATATCTTTGCCTTTACGATGAATAATTTTAAAATCATAAGGGGAGAGACGACATAACCATCTGCATAGTCTAGGTGAAGGTGTTTTTTGAGATCTCAACCACTGCAAACTTGAATGATCAGAAATAACGAAAAAATGTGTGTGCTCTATGTAACAACGGAAATGTTCAATACTAAGAATGACTGCAAGCAGTTCTTTTTCAGTTGTAGAGTATTTTCTTTGGCACTTGTTGAGAGATTTACTGAAATAAGCTATGGGATGTTCCAAACCATTTTCTTCTTGATAAAGAGTGCCTCCCACACCAGTATTTGAGCTGTCACAACAAATATAGAAGGGCTTGGAGAAGTCTGGACTAGCAAGAATTGGAGCGCTGGTTAGCAAATTCTTAATTTCCTTAAAAGCATTGTCAGCATCAGGAGTCCAAGTGATAGGTTCACCCTTCTTCCGATTTTTAAGCAAGTCTGAAATTGGAGAACATACACCACTAAAATTGTTAAGGAAACGACGATAATATCCAAACATTCCAAGCAACCTTCGAATCTGAGTAGTATTAGTTGGTTGAGGATATGATAAGAGTGCAGATACTTTTTCGGGGTTTGTTCTAAGTCCTTTCTCATCAACAACATAGCCTAAGAAAGTCAAAGATGAGCGAGCAAAATGACATTTATCAAAATTTACAGTCAAGTTAGCATCTTTCAATCGATTATAAACTTCTTTCAGTATCCTTAGGTGAGTTTCAAAATCAGGAGTTGCCACAATTATATCATCCAGATAATAAAAAACATATGGTTCCAGATCAGGACCGATAACCATGTCTAATAATCGACACATTGCACTTGAACTATTAGAAAGGCCAAAAGGAAGTCTTCGAAAGCAATACATTCCTTTACCACGAACTATGAAAGCTGTTTTTAATTTAGATTCTTCATCAAGTGGAATCTGGAAAAATGCTGATTTTAAATCAATGGATGATAGATATCTGGCATCTCTGATTTTAGAAATTACAGAGTCTATTAAAGGAGGAGGATACGCGTCAGGAATTGTTACTGAATTTAGTTTTCTACCATCAAAACAAACTCTATATGAACCGTCTTTCTTGGAAACCAGCCAGAGCGCTGAACACCAGGCACTGCTGCAAGGTTCTATAATACCTATGTCCAACATTTCATCAACTTGCTTAATAAGAGCTTTTTCCATTACATGAGAAAGCGGATATTGTCTTTGCCTGATGGGCTTTGCATCACCTGTGTCAATGTGATGTGTATATAAATGTGTACAACCAATACTGTCAGTAGGTGCAATGCTATTAAAAAGTTCAACAATTTCAAATAATTGTTCCTTTTCCATATTAGATAGCTTCTCCACACCTTGAATACAATTTACAGCACAAGATTGATATGAAAAAGTATGAAAATCAAGGTTGAAATTGAATTTTAGGATGAAATCCATGCCTAAAAGTAATGTGTGTGTAATGGAAGGAACTATTATGAATTTAATGACATGAACTTTGCCATTAAAACCTACTGGCAGCAAAGCAAAACCTAAAGTATTCTGCATCTGGCCATCAGCAGTTGTTATTTGCAAGGTACTACTGTAATCGATGTTGAGATTTAATTTACGTAATAAGTATAAGCCAGATGAACCTAGAATGTTGGCATTGCTTCCAGTATCAAGCAAAGCTAAAATGTTTTCATCACCAATGGATATTGAAAGATGTGGACGATTGTCATTTGGTTTTTGAATAAATGGTTCTGAATGATCATTTGATGGCATACCTGCAAGTTGTGAATGATTAATGTCAAAATCGGGATTAATTGCTGAAGGTTGTCTTAACTTGGCTATTTGTTGGACTTCAGAATGAGACCTGGAGTTGCTTTGCCCTTTACGTCTATGACTCCTCGAGTCTGGGCGAAAGAAGTTCCGGGAGTCGGATTGGAAACTTCTTGCCTCACGTTTTTTGAACAGGAAGGACAATTAGAGCGTGTGACATTTTTCATACCACAGGTATAGCAATAAACAGCCTTAGGAGCTCTACAATCTCGAACAGAATGTCCTAGCTTCTCGCAATTCCAACATACAGGAGCTTTTCTGTGAGACGATGGAGTACTATCAGAAGTAACCAAGCTGGAAGTGGAAAGTCTATTGTGGGGTTGACAAGTCAAGAAGGAATCCTCTAATTTCCTACAAAGTGATGTTAGTTCAGGAAAAGTGGAAATTTCATGAAGAGCAAGTGACTTTATGAAGTCAGGCAATAAATTTCTACGGACAATATTGACCATGTCCTTTTCTGTAAATGTATTGTAGGTTAATCTATTGAATTGAGATTCCATGAACGAAATGAATATCGTAACATGTTCATGCTGACCTTGTTTGCGTCTACGAATCTCATCAATTAGGTTCATATCATAATTGTCACGTAGGAAAGCATCCTTGAGTTGTTTAATCAAGTCCTGCCAATCATGAAAGCTATTTCTTAGATGGCCATTATGCCACCATGTCCAGGCTACATCTTCAAAGAGATCACCTGCAGATGCAAAGAGATCCATCTCATTGCAACCACAGGAAGACATTAGAGATTCGACAATTTCTAGAAATTCAATAACTGAGCTATTTCCAGAAAATTTTTTGATTCCCCATTTGAAAACTGGTATCTTTTTATGTGGAGCAAAATTTATAGGAGAGAGTGGCTGTGTATGTACTGGAGGAAATACTTGAGGATTAGCAACAGTCACAGGCGGATTTGATGCTAATGGAATAGGACGAGATGAAACTGATGGAGGAGATGATTGAGCAGATGGCATCTCAAGCTTCTCTAAAAGATCCGATTCACACACAACAAGTTGTGTCTTTAATCTAGATTTTGTACTTATCTCCTCATCACAAGTAGGAGACATTCGATCTATCCTACCAGATAAATGCAATAAGCGCACACAAATTCTGCGATGTTCAACAGAATCAAATGCACCAGTAAATCTAGAGATCATCTCAGTGAGTTTATTGAATGAGAGTCTTATCTCAGTCTCATCCTCATCAAAAGGAATAGTCACAGAACTTTCTGAGAAACTACGCCCTTGAAATTCCTGTGCTAATAAGCCACGTAAAACTTTACGTTTATCCTCCACGGTATTAGGGACTTCCAAACCTCTGATATGAATCTCGTAGTGGAGTTCATGACTTAATAAGTCATTTGGGCTTAGTCTAGACTGAACCATGATTGAGAAATAAACCTCAAAGAAACACTTGAAAGAAAAAAATTAAAGTTAAAAACCTGAATACGTCAAGAAATGACAAGGATCTAAAACACTATAAAAAACTAACAATACAAACAAAAAGTTTCAATACAAAAACAGGAGCAGCCGAATCTTAAAAAAAATTATTTTATATCTGACATACATTAAAAGAGTACAGAGACGTTCAAGTCCTGTTAATCCAATGGAAAATCAGACACTAATGTTCTAATTTCCCCCAAAGAATATGCCAGATAAAACTATAAAACATTAAAATTATGAAAACTTTTGCTCCAAACAAGAGACAAAATTACTACAATAGTTACTGAGGAACGTATACTATTTCAACAACAAGTTGAAGTTTAATTATCATAAATGAGTATGTGTGTCTTTGTATAGGTAAAAATGATTTAGG